AAGACAAATCTAAAAAGATTTTTGTCAATCACACAAATTACACATCCTAGAACCAGGGGACATTTAAAAAAAACCCTTCATTTCTTTCACAGAGTGAGGATCTCAGATCTCATACCTGTTCGGGTCCACAAAATTAGTGTCATAAATAACTCTTAGGGGATATGACATTACTGCTCTTTCCAAAGGGTTTTACAAGACCTGTAAGAGCAACTGTCTTTTAACTCTGGAATATCAACTGTCGTTATAATAGGTTTTAACTCATTAAAGTTATTTTCCTCCCTGGACACCTGTCATGCTGATACTACATTTCACTTGTTTTATTAAACTTTGGATAAACAAAAATGCATAATTCTTTTCCTCGATGAGATCTTAGCCACTTTTTACAAGGACTCTGATTCAAAACAAACATTTAACTTGTCTTCTTGAGCAATTTCACTTGCTTTTTTTTTTCCCTGCTGTGCTGGAAACATGCTTTGTGCTTGCTCTCAATCAGGTATCCCAACAGTTTTTCACGTAGCACAGCACAGTACAAATATTATAGTTACAGATTAGCTGTTCCCTGCTGCCATTCACTTCATGACTTAGATCCCTTGTCATCTGTAAATCAAAATATTTATGCACTCAATTATAACACTACCAAGTGAGAATAAAGGGTATTCCATTACTCCCAAGAGGACTGTGTAAACATTTGAGTAAAGTACTGCGATACACTAAATTCTCTCAGTTTCATACTTCTCCATGTCTCACTGCAGCAGAACAGCTCACAGTGATCTCACACTTACAAAAGGGTTATGCATGCACACTGGATCAGAGCTCTGTAATTCACAGAGTGGCTTTGTCCAAGTTGAAAAAATGCTTAAAGATTACTGAAAGGAGTCCCTGAAATTTCTGGCATCCACAACCATCCACACAGCAAACTGCCTCCTTTTGCTTAGCCCGTGAGCCTTGGTCAAATGCCACACAGGAAATATCCTGCTACTAGCTCTGCCCAAAGAAGCACATTTCACCTGGGTGAAGGATCAAGGAAAACAGCAAAACACACTGCAGAGTAAAACCAGTACAAACAATGTGAGTGCTGTGGGTACAGGGCTGAACTTTAGATAAAGTACAGCAGAGAAGAGGTTATTACCATTATAAACACACGTGCCCGTGTGCTAGGAACGGGAATTAGATGTTTTCACCACCGTGGTCAGAACATGAGCCATAATATCAGCCTTTCTGTATTATTTTGCCCCAAAGACACAGCCTGCCCTGCTGAGAAGAGTGTGCTGTGCGGATTAGCCCTAAGATGCTGCGTTAGCTCCTGCTGACATTCCCAACACCACAACCTCAGGGGTCTAAAGTGCCGTGTCTGCTCCTGGCCCAATGCAGATTCTTGGGTGATGGAACAAGGGCACATTCCGGATTTTCATCAGCTAGAAGAGAGTAATTAATCTCAATTCTCTTCTTCTCCCTGAAAAATAGAACTTCTATAGCTTGAGGAAAACTAAGAACTATCAGCTCTTCTGATAATTAATCTTAAATGGGGAACCTTCCAAAGAAAATCAATAGCTTGTAACAAGATTCTGTATTGTGTTTGAGCCCTGAAACTCAAACTAGGATCAAAAGGTGCTTTCAGCACTGCAAGTTTGCTCTTGTTGTGTATTATTTTTAATACAGTGTCATCATTTGAAAAAGTGAGATTTTTCACATGTGAGCAATTTTAGTTATGTGTGGCTTCACCTTCATGGAAGACTCCAGTAATATTTTATACAGACTATAAGATTAGAGGTATTTCAGGCAACTTGAAAGAAATTTTTCTCAAAAGAAGGAATTTAATAGGGAATTATTTTTTTTTTCTTTATCCTGCATGTAATATTCTATAGCTAAAACATCTTTATTCATTTGTACCTTTCTAAATTAGTCTGTTCCATATGAGAAACTTTAAAAATGATGTCTCTTTACATGGTCAGTCTTTTTTTAAGAAAAAAGAAAAATCTAATGAATTTAACCATGGTGCTATGGAAACAGCTTTAAAATTAATTTGGGTGCAGGAAGAAATGATGCAACTCTAACGCAGAGAAAGTGACAGATTTCAGAAGAAAAAAAAGGCTGTCTTCATTCAGCACTGGGATCTTTGAGAAATGGTAAAGCATAGCAAGGCAAGGAGATCTTTTCAAGCTATAGTGAAGCAAGATTTCTCAAGCACATTCTCCAAAACGGTTCATTACCAAACTGAGATGTGATAAGGAGGGGCGGAGTGGGGCAGAGACATACAGACTTGCAAGAATGGGAAACTTGAAATGAAAGCCGCTTGAAAGCACTGGTGAAGAATGGCAAAGTTCTTAGACAAGTGCTTTTATTGTAAAGACAGCGCAATACAGGGTGGAGAGTTCATTTATAGATCAGCAAAAGAAATAACTGTTCTAATTCCTAATTTGTTCAATCCTGTTAACTCATTCCCACAAATCCCTACTGACTGCCTGCAGTCTGGTGTGAGTCTTGCACAGTGAATTGTGTCTTTTTCTGACATCGAGAGAGGTTTCCATCAGAGCCAGCACACTATTATGTGTTGAGGCCCATATCTCACTGCACTGTAACGTGTGATGCAAGACTAGAACTGCACTGCACAGCAGGCTCCTTGCAGTGAGCCTGGGACAAATATCCTATATGTGGTCATGTATACTTCAGGATTTTTATTTCCGTAAGTCCCATCAGTAAAAATGAGAGTTTGACACTGACTCAGGGCTTCCACAGGTGGAAGGAAAATTTGGTCCTTACTTTTACCTAGTCCTGCACGAGACATTTTGGGTTGTTAGATAAGTTAATCTAATTCATTGTTATTCTGGGACTTTGTACAGAAGGAATGCTAGTCTAAAACAGATTTCATCACTTATTTCTTTGATAATTCACAAGTTAATTTGGTGCCAGAGTGAATAGTTGTACATAAAAAGAAAAATATGTTATTAGCCTAAAAATTTCAGTGACTGCACAGTCCCTCGAACCATGATGTTCAGCAGTATCACAAAGTGATGACTAATGAGCCTATAACCTTTATGTGCTGTAGAGTAAATACTCCCATTAATTCCTTACAAGACCTTTAGAATACATACTGCATTCATCCTGCCTCCTAGCTGTCAGAATTTAGTAGATGACTTCATTGGCTACTTTGACATTTTTACTTTTTCATTCCAGTTTGGTTTGTTTGCTTGCCTTAAAAATTGCCTGCTGTGTGAATTGTAAAAAGGTCAACCAACAGTTCCCAATTCAGACAGGACAAAAGTAACTGAAATTAACACATTATAGCAGTAATTTTGACCCTTACTTTATCTTTTCAGTCTGTGAACTGTTAGCTGTAAATATTAAAGCTATGTGCCAAAGATCTTCCAGTCTTACTAATACAAATACTCTCTTTCAGAATTTCCACTGCCCCTTTTTACATCAATGTCCAAATGCTAAAACAGCGTCACTAAGAGATTGGGGGGTGGTGGGAGGACAATGCTCGGTGGATTTTTTATATTAGCAAAGCTCACAAGATACAATTCTGAGTAACGTACTTACAAGAAAAACAGATTTTGTGATCAGGGCGGAGTGTAGGAAATAGAAATGTCTGAACACTCCCAAAGATTGGATATCATCGCTTATTTCTCAACTTATCATTGACTGAGGTAAGAATGGTGTAAGTTACACAATAATTGGGATGCTGTTATATTTCGGATCATTATTAGTATACGTGTTGGTGGACAGAGGTACTCGGATGGCAAAGCAAGGCTTTGTAACCTGCTTGTGCACCGCAGATCGTACAGGGAGGTCATTCCTGCAGAGAAATCCTTGCAATTGTATTTCACTCCTGAAGCACCAGACGTGGCATTCATCCAAAAGACAAAGTCACTGATGCAGGAACTAAACCCCATTTCAGTGGGTTTTGAGGTGTTGTGGTTTGGGTTTTTTCCTGATTATAAATGTGGAAAGCACACTATGATGAAATTTCTCTGCTGGCAGTCTTTGGCCATTCAGACTACCAGAAAACATAGATCAAATTAATACTGATCTTGTAAGTAAGTCTAAAAATGTCAGTGGACTATCTTTAGATTTATGCCAGCACATGGAAGACACATCTGGTTTTTAAATACAAACATCAGGCTGCTGCAATTCTGAAGATGCCAGAACAGTGACCTTACTTTTCTAGTTGACATCTGAAAACTCAGACAGACATCTTTAGGCTAAATAAAGCTAACTAGCCTTTGAAATTCTTAGGAGTACTTAACTGCCTCACAAGTTCATTAAAGTTGTTCATCTTTTTAAAACAAATGAGGCTACAAATTGCAGTATAAATGGTAACAGTGTCCAGTGATCCCAGAGAAATCAAATACCATTGTCCTGGGTAAGACGCTTACATATGCAGGGAGAAGGATGAATGGTGCCTTCATAATTTAAGGATTCCAGCAAATCATAAAACTAAAAAGCAGAAGGAAAGCTATAGGAGCTAAGGAAAACCTGGTTAACAATAATACAGCAAGTGCCTAACTGTAGGAGCTTTTGTAACCAAGTTTGCAAAATCTGGGACCAATGAATATTAGTATTTTGAACTCCACGAGTGCTGGTTTAAACAGTTCCAAACCCATATCCCATATGTTTCTTCAAATATTTCAACTCCTGACTCCTCTGTGTTTGGCTTGAGGCTGAAAAGTACAGATTACTTGATGCCCATGGCAAGTGCTGTTGCAACAGGGAACGATGTCAACCCCTGCAGTGCAATTCATCACTTGATGTGGGAAAATTCACTTACTGGCAATTTAGAAGAAAACACGCTGGTGCTGTGCCAGTTGGAGCCAGATGGTGACTGAAATTATTAAAATCATGCATGCTGCAAACCTCTGAAAAATTGCACTGTTACAAAATATCCTAATCATAGATGGGCTCCTAATACCAACCAATTGGTGTATAGAGAGTATTTGCAAACAGTGTATGGTACGATTTGCTACTGTTTAATTGTAATCTTTCCCTTCCCTGTTTTCTAGGTTCAACTAATCCACTATAACCATGAGCTGTACACAAATGTCACAGAAGCTGCAAAGAGTCCTAATGGGTTGGTGGTAGTTTCCATATTTATGAAAGTACGTATTCAGTATTATCAATCCCTAATATATAGACAATGGATTACTTTTCCCATGAGCCGTAAATGTAGGAGTTAGACTCCTCAGTATACTATGGCAATGCCTAGAGGTTCTGATCTGGAATTCAGAGACAGCATCATCCTAAGGATGGAACACATAATCTCTAAAGCATTTACAATGTAATGCAAGGAAAAAGAAAAAGGGATAAGAGAGGGGGAAAAACAATCCTTAAATCATAAACAGTTGTACCACTTTAACTAGTAACAGAAGTTACTAATCTTGCAGATTGGGTATGTCCTTCCTGAGATGTTAGTCATTCAATTAAAAGTACATCTCTACTAGTAGTTTAAGTTCCTGGGACAGAGGGCATGTTTGCCCATTGGAGACATGCTGATGTTTCAAAGTCAGGAAAATAAGTTTTCCTCACAACATCATTTTAAACATTTTAAATTATCAAAACTGAAAGAACATTAAAAATGTGTCTCAGTATCTTCCGTTTCACAGAGCTAGGAAGACACATGAATATTTTGTTGTATTTTGGTCTCCATCCTGTTCTGTTCAAGATGCATAGTTAGGTCTATAAATTAGTGATCTGGCATTGAACTCAAGACTTAATAGTTTGCTCAAATCTCCCTAATTACATTGGAGAAACCTTTTCTCTCATTTTATATGAAGAATGCATCTCCCCAGAAATGCTGTTCATATTCTGCCATTACATATCTCTGTTCCATCAGTCTAAAAAAGCGTATACTGAAGCATAAGTGCTTCATACTGAAAAAAATAGCTTTCCCTCATCAAACCTTGTGCACTGGATATCGATTAACTCCCTTTAATATTCTCTAATTCCATTTCATAAGATAAAGTTCCTGACAAAGCATTAACCTCAGAATTAAAATATGCATTTCACAGAGTATATCGGATAATCAGACATGAAAATTACCCGTTTATACAGGTCTAATATGTAAGATATTTAGGTTACTTTTTTTCATGCAAAATCTATCATATTACGATCTTGCTTGAATTCACGCAAAATGATAAAATTGAAGCAAGCCTTCAAAATGCCCAGCACACCAATTTTGTCTAAATAATGTATCACTCAAGTACTTGCTGAGTTGCACACCTCTCGTTCTGCCTCACCATATTTTTCTCCAGGTCTCTCTCACCAGCATGAAAAGATGTTTTCTATTTTAAATGTCCAAAGTTAGAAAAACTTCCAAGTGAAGTAACTATCTTAATTTCCACAAAATAGAACCTGAAGTGAATTTTCCTGAATGTTACCTGACAAACAGAGCTGGATTACAGTTTGTCCAATAGCCCATTTATGTTCCTAAATCTTAACTAAACTTTTTGTGAAGTTTTCCATTTTCAAAATAAATTGATTTCATTCTGGATAAATGCTAGATGTGTAACAGCAGCATCCAGTGCCTCATAAAAAAAACTACATCACAGAATAATTGAAAGGTAAGTAGGATATTAGAAGGCTAAAGAGTTATTAAAATGTCTCCATAAAAAATATGACACTAATTTTGTTGCTAACCAATAATAATTTTGCCATTTGCAGTACAATAAAATATCTAATTCAATTACCATTGATAATCAACAATTATATTGTTGATGAAGTACATGCATTCCCTTTCTCCCCCCAAAACCACCCAAGAAAAAACATTACAACAATACCTCTAAGCCCTCTACCTTTTTTTCCTCAAAATGCTCTTCAGGTATGCTGATGTTAATGTAGACTGAATGTTTTATGTGTATGCATACATGTATGGATACATATTTGTCAGTGCATGTGGGTGAAATTTAGGCATTTCATACCTGTATGTAAAACAAAGGAAAGACAGATTTTATTTGCAATCTGAATAGTCTGCTGCAAGGAAAGTATTCTCAATAAATAGCAAAATAATAGAATACTATATGAAAATCCTACCTAATGATATTAACCACCTGCAAATCCCATCAAAGCTGTTGGAAAAGAAACCTGTAGTCAGACTTGTATTCAGGCATTAATTTCTGTTCATCCTGTTCTCCCATCCCTGTTTTTTTTTTAATTTATTTTTCGATACTATCTTTCAAACAAGTTTCGTTAGAAAAATATCTAAGTCATTATTTCCTCTTCCCACAACAATGAAAAAAATGCAGAAACAATTTGGAGGAGTGGCAGGAGAAAGAGGATGAGTGTGTGTGTGTGTGTGTGTGTGTGCATTTCCAGCTGTGTTTCCAGACAGGAAATGTTGGTGGGAAGATTTTGACGTTGTACATTTTCTCTTCTGTAGGTATCCGAATCATCAAATCCATTTCTAAATCGTATGCTTAACAGAGACACCATAACGAGAATAACGTATAAAAGTAAGTTTCTTTTCATTTACTAAGGCTAACAGCTGTATGCTTTTAGTATCAAATAACATATTTAGCAATCCGCTGAAACAAGAGGCACTTCATTACGGGCAAAATTTATAAAGTTTGCATTGCCAGCAACTCTGCATGATAAACTCGGGAACCTGAAAAATCTATTAAGATCATCAATTCATCAAAAGAATTTTGAACTTCAAAGACTATTTTATGTTTAAACAAGCAATAAATTAAAAAAATTGTACTTAACAAATACATATACTGTATTCACACAGAATACTCAGGAGAAACTGCCTACTGTTAGCAGTAAAAGTAACAGGCAGAGCAGCCTGGATTATATCAAATCAAGTGACGTCAAGATGCTGCATCATTAACTGTAGATTAGGATTCAATTAATGCTCTCTTTTTGTACTGAGAAGTTATGGTATTTCCATTCAACTACTGCTGCATTTAATGGCTGTATAAAGAGGTCATTAACATAGCATGTGTGTTTGTTGTACTCACATTTGGAAAGCCTTTAACTGATAATGCTCAATAATTCCATGTTAGTATATTGAACTTAGGGAAAACTGGAGCTTAAATGTCAGTGAAAATTAGGCTAGTTTAACGAAAGTCATGAAAAATACATATATCTCAGTGGAACAAATTAAATCTGTTCTCCTAAAATCCTATTCCCTTTGTCAAATATTCACTTGAATTCCAAGCAGCCATGAAGTTAATAAGTTAAACGATACCAGAATTTAGCTTTCAGAAAGTCCACAGCAAGCTGAAGAGATGAGGTTACTGTAAAACTCAGCCTTTGCTTGTTATTCTGTAAACAACGACTTGACATTTTTCATAAACTTCATTAATTTTCCTTTTGTTTATGAAAGCAGGGAAAGAGTTTCTCATGATAACTGGAATGAGACTGGTGGTCAGGACTCTAGGATTTGGTGAACAATTCTACTAGGGTTTGCCTCAGTTTACCTCTCTGTAAATGAAATCTATTGTACTATATACTCTACAGCAACGTAATGTTACTTGGAAAACTTTATATCTGAAACTCCACAGATCTCAAATGTCAATATTTAAGTTCAACAAAAGTCACTGAACTTCAGGTTTGTGATTATGGTTTGGAGAGATGTCTATAGATGTCCCTGAAGTACAGAGTCTGATTTCTTTCCAGGGACTCCATCTTTTCCTCCTCCCTGCAAAGCCAGGACTGTAAATAAAAAAGTGTAGATTTGAGACCAACGTAAAGTGAAAGCATAGAATTTTACCTACTAATTCCTGAACAAGAGAGCATTCAAAACATTTTGAGTCTTGTCATACAATACAGAATTTGAACAATAGAGCCAATCCAACCCCATCCTTAAGTAGATAGTTCCTTGTCCTCTCTAACACTCACCTTTCTTCCCGCTGATGTTCCTCTAATTTTACCTTACAGTTAACAAATCTTGTTGCATCTTTGGTCCAAATAAAAGGCCTTTATTGTGATAAAACTCTTTTCTCCATTATACCTATAGAAAGGAAGGTAACAAATGGTTCCACTCAGAATATTTTTTTCCAGATTGTTCTGTCAATATGAAACATTGTCTTCTCTGCATGGAAGAAGCAGGGATTAGCCCAGTTTTTAAACTGCCTGTCTTGATTCCTTACAAAAACACAGCAATACTGTTCTGGAAGAGCCTCCTGCCTACCAGCGCTGCTGCAGCATCCTGGAGACAGGAAATTATCATTAAGGCTGTATGTGCTTTTTCAGGCTCTGAACAAATTACATATTCCTGGCTTCTGTCTGGGGACCAGCCAGCAGATCTCTGACTGTACCGCTGAGGAAGCTGCTTTTCCCCACATACACACACAGACCAATCAGGTCTCACACACTGAAGAAGAGAAGACTGCTGCCTCGCTCTTCCCATCGCAGCAGCTGTACCTCAGCCTTTTTTCTGTACTCCTTGGCCCCACATGCTGCAGTGGCTGGCCAGCAGAGAAAGACTGGACAGCCTGTGGTGGCTGGGAGCAGAGAGGCCATGATTAGGGATATAGAGCTCCACAGGGCAGGAAGGCACTGCCAGGGTCTTGCCCTTGTTGTGTGAGTGAGTGTGCAACTGTCACCCACACCAGCAGGCAAGTGTACCGTCCCGATACCAAATATTTCATTTGCAGGCTTGCTGATAAGCAAGCAGTCCTCCTCTCTGGAGCTGACAGCATCCTACCACCTTTCATTGGTTGTTTTGCCTCTTTAGAAGGAAAATGCAATTCCAATCATACCTAATTTGGGTTTACTAAATGAAATTTCACATGAAGATGAACACATAGCATAGGCTGCAAAATCAATGATTAACGGAACTGTTTCAATTTTTAAGCACTTCTCACTAACAAGTTTATCTCTTAAAATGAAATCCTTTGTAGATACAATGCACATAATATTCTGCAGGGCGTTAGGTTACTTACTGTAGTAACAAGTATTGACTGGGAATTTTTTAGTATAAATTGGGAACGTGAAAGTGTTATTGAAAGTAATTTTGCAGTTGTCTTGCGTGATGGATTATAGCATCATTGCTGAAAACTAATTTTACCTCTTACATTGCAAGGATTTCTATTCTGCCTTTCACAGCTGGAGGTTTTTAGCTTGTGCTTTAGGGGTCCACTCCTGAAGTCAATACTCAGCAGGCTGCTGACAAAATGACCAGTCCCAGTGTGCTCAAAGGGAGCGTGGAGCGAATGATAAGTGGAGCACAGGTTCAGAGTCAGGACAGCTAGTAACATAACTGAAGTACTTTTGTTAAAGAACAACAACAAAATTAAGAGCTATCTATGCTGATGCATGAAATTTCCATGGGCAAAATGCATTAAAAGAGGAATTTCTACTCTTAGTTATTAATGGCTACAGCAAAGTAAAGTGGACCCCAAGGAATTTCTAACCAGATTTTAAATGCTTATTTTATTCTGTTATCATAGCCCAAAGAATCTGCTGTGAAATTGTTGAAACAAGTGTTCTTTCAACCAGGCTTTAGTCAGAAGCTATGTGAATATCTCTAAAGAAAAGCTGTTTTAATATTCTTCTTTAAGTATGACATTTGAGGGGATAAGTTAGCTTTCTTTCAGAACAGTTATGCTGCAGTAGCTTCCACCCAGTGTTTGCTTCACACTGGAAAGAAGTAACATTTTAGATTCCCAAAATTCCGTATGAAAATTTGGTTCTGTCGTTCTCCACCAAAATACCGCCACAGCTAGGCAGAAGAGCTGTAAAATTCTGAATTTCCTAAAATTCAATCTTTAGCTATTTTATAGATAACATACAAGTGAATAACCTATTCTGATTTTAAGAGGTTATCCTGAAAATGCTTAAGATTCAGATTTATGAAATAAAGAGCCTATTAATTTCTCAAGTTCATGTTTCAGTGCCTTCTCGGAAGGACTGAGCTCTTGCAGCCCCTGTCACAGTAAGTGGAAGCTCAGCAGTCTCAAACCAGGCCCCGAGGGACTAACCTCAGGTATTCAAAATGAGTCTCTGTCAGCCTGGGTCTAAGCGACTTGTGAAAGCTGGCAAATGGAGAAACTCTGTGTCAGGGTTAAAAACCTGAGGCTCCCTACATGCCTTATCCTGTAAATCTAGTCTAGTTAGAGCTGTACTTTCCCTTTTTAGATTATCACATGAACTTCAAAACTAAATGGACCTTCCTTCATTCAGTAAATAATATATTCCCTATAGATACTACTCTTTTAAAGAGAGCATACATTAGATTTGCTGTGAAAGCAGACCCCATGCACCTATTACAACTGTAGGGATAAAAAGAGGATTTCCACCAATTGCTAAGAAAATTGTCAGTCAAGGCCTTTATGTAAATGAATATGAAATCTAATGATATCTGATTTGTATAGAGCAGAGTTCAGGAGTTCAGGAATCACCCTAAAGCACAAGCGGATCAAGATAAACAGAATGTGGGCTGTAGATAGGAATGATGCTGGGAATACAGTTAAGGCTGAAGGAGCTTATTAAAGGAAGTTTATTACTAGCAAGAGATCACACGTGGTGATTTTGACCATTCTGAACTACATACTTCCAATAAATGTAAGACAAGACATTAAAGTGTTGCAGTCTAGCATTAGGGCAAATTCAGTTCCACAATGGGAAACCTTTATCAAGATGTGAGGAAAGGGAAACAGCAGAACTGCTCATGGGAAAAATGTTGTTAACCAAACGCTTATTCTTTAGTCTTTTCTCAGGCTGTTCTCATGGAGTCATACAACTTCCCCTGGGAATATAACCCATATTCAGCATGAATAAATAGTGCTTTTACTTGGACAAACTCTTTTATTTCATTATTTCATTCACCCCTATCATCCCTTTTTTCCTGAAGTTATATTTTCCTCCAGTTTCCCATTAATCACAACTGACGGGTTTTGACCCTTAGCATAATTCACTGTCTCTCCTTAAACATATTCCAAGTGAAGAAAGAGGCAACAAACCAGGTTTGGAGCCACTTCACTTCTGCATGCTGGTGGAGGAGATGGCCACACATTCTGTAGGTCCTCAGTAACTTAAGAAGTTGATCCAGTAAGGCTAAGGAGAGCATCTCTCCTGAGCTTGAGCGTACTGGCATTTATCAGGCTTGCTTGAAGGAGTAGGAGAACCATGCCCCACACTGTTACATGCCATATTCCACCCCTGGAGGGTTATTATGTTCTGAGGATGACTAAATGCTGTAAATCCGTAGACAAAAGTTAGAAGCCCATATTAAAATAATGAATTGCATCTCTATTAAAGCAATGTGAGGCAGTTCCAAACCCCCCATGATTACCTGCACTAATGCCAGCAGTAAATCTGTTTCTCTATCTTCCATTTGATAAGTAGTCCTATTGTTAATAATTTGTGCACTGTTCTGAATACAAATTTATCAACTAGAATGTGACACACACACAAAAAAAAAAAAATATATATATATATATATCATCAATATCCCTCAGCAGTATTAATCTTTAGTTTGCTTTCCAACCCTAGTAAACATTTCAGGGTAAATTCTACCTTGTTTAAATCATTTTAGCCCAAAGTCAATATGGATGTGAGAAAGCAGATTTGGTCCTTTAAATCTGAAACTATCTATTCTGACTGACTCTGTGCCATTTGGAGCTAACACACCACTCTCCATGGTTCATAAATAATGAACAGGATGTTCATGTGGGAAAGGGAAAAATGTGTGATGACTCATCGAAAACAGGCACTGGCTTGAAAAAAAAATGCATTCATTCTCTTCCTATATAATCCTAGCAAAATTACCGCTGCACTGCAAATAATGTTTTTAATGAATAGGACACAGGTGTATTCAGTCATCTCTAGCTGTTAAAATTGACAGCGTTTTGATTCTAATACTATAGCAATGGTTTTGCACTTTTCTCTGGAAAATTCTAGGGGTAGAAAGACTCTGTATCCCAGGCCATGGGCCAGTGAAGGCTGAGCATGTTAATAAAGGTGACAGTCAGCCTCCTAACAGGACACTAACAGTGCTTTCCCTTCTACTTGAGGATCCAGCTATATAGCATGACAATTACCGTGGCTCAAAGTGCAAGAACATGGCAGAAGGCTGTATTGCTGACAGACCTGAAAGGACATGCCAAGATTCTATTTTGTAAAATAACAAACACATTTAAATAACTGTAAGGCACTGGTCAGTGTGTATAAAGCTTACACGCTCGCTTTAACACTTCAACTGGTGCTAGAGCCACTAAATTACTACCCTAGAAGCTTGTAGCATGTTGAGTGCACTATGTCAAAATAAAAAAAAAAAAAGATTACATTGTCTTTGCATGTGTTCTTTGATTTTCTGTCACCCAAGACAGTAGTCTGCAGTCTTTTTTTTTCCCATGAGGTAGCATGAGACAAGCACTTCGCTCATCTGAGTTTTGTCCTTCACCTATAATATGCTCCATTTACAATAATAAAATTAAAGTTAAATTACTCTTTTCTTTTTCAGTCTGTATATGCTTCCTTGATCATTCATATTTCTTTTTTTAATTCCATTTACTATCTTTTCCTGATGTCCAAGGAACTATTTATCAGCTTTAAAAAAAAAAAAAGCACAAAACAAAACATAAAACCAAGAACTGTTTAAACTTACAGTGAATGGTACCTGAAAAAACATCAGAGAATCCAGCCAAAATGCTTAAATTATTGACATTGTCTTAAAAGATGCATTTTCAACATTTTTTAGTCTGAGCAGCATCTTCCATTCTTGCTTTCCATTAAAACCAATGCTAGCTCGTCTTGTGTATTGGAAGGGGAGACAGCCTTGCCCACTTTTTAGCACTCACTCTGCACATGAACCTCGTTGAACACACTACATGCAAGCGAGAGCATGCAAAGAGATTTCACATTACTGCTTGTACCCAGCCCAGCTTTCTCCAAGGTGCACTATAGCAGTAGCGTATAGAAGCGTGTATATCCCTGAGTATTTCCTATTAAGGAACTCCTACCTCCTAAAATTTGGCAGGAGAATCTAAGCTCCAGTTTTGACAGCACTGCCAGAAATATTGTAGGGCCAGCATTACACGAGGGAAATGGCACACACAGTATAGAAAAGGCTAAGAAACTTTGATGAATTTTGAAAGATATAACCATATCTCATTATACCTTAGTACATGGCCACAGAGCGAATTCTGTTGCAGAGGGATACCTCATTAATTCCCAGGGAGACTTACAATAAAAGCAAGGGAACCTAGTAAGCTGCTTTCCAGTGTACTTTTCCACCCCGATTTTAGCATTCCGGATGAGCTTGCACTGCATCCACCCCCACTGTGCACATGAAAGGCCAGCAGGCTTCACTGAGCAGCTTTATTATCATGCATTAACCTTAACTTCCTCCTGGGGTAGAAGGGCAATTAAATTTTAACACTCTTGGCCATCCCAAGGCTTTGTTGAGCAAAAATTGTTAATCACTCCAAAATATGGTGAGTTGGCCTTCTCCAAAGACTGCTGCATCTAAATCAATAACTGCAACTTCAAGAAACTTTTAACTGCAGCTTTTAAATGCGATTCATAGAGTCACTGTGAATGCTTGTGCTAAACTCACAGAAGGCGTGCATGGGCATCTAAGAGTAGAACTCAGCCCAAGCAGGACCAGTGAACTCACATCGCTTGTTCTTGTCCAAACTGCTGGAGCGCTCAGAAATTTATGTTCACTGCACTTCATATTTCACTATAACTCGATGATGTTCAAGAAAAAGGATTGTACCTAAAAAGAGTGTGACCTTTTTTTTTTTTTTTTGTGAAGCTATTTTGTTATCTCAGTTACTTTTCTTTATTCTCCAGATGATGCATACTTACTACAGGGGCTTAATATTGAGGAACTTTATCCAGAGACATCTAGTTTCATTACGTATGATGGGTCAATGACAATTCCACCCTGCTATGAAACAGCAAGCTGGATAATAATGAACAAACCTGTCTACATAACAAGGATGCAGGTAAAAATAATTTTTTTGATTAATCAATCTAGTGTAGGTACAAAACAATATATTAAACACATATATTTATAGCTTTACACACAAAATTATATTCAAGCTTTTGCTATAGGCATCTCCGCCTGTGATTTATACAGTTTGCAAAAGCACTGAAGTTTTTTACCAAAATAAAAATATTAACTATTTGGAGCTCTAAGTATCTATACACACACACACTTTAAGGTGGGCCCTACTTTCAGTGAGTGTTTGAACCAAATGGTTTCCAGCGGTTTCTTCCAAACTAAATTATTCTGTGACTCTGTGAATAGCTATACGGGGATTCTAAAACAAATTTAGCAGTGTTGCACAAAAGTAGCTGAGGTTAATAACTATAACAGAGGCCATTCTCAGGTCAGAAAGAAACAGAAAAATTGTGAGTGACACTTGTGGCCATTTAAATACATGTTGATAACACATTAATGTGACAGAGAATCAATATACGGGACCTTCTTGAAAAAAAAAAATCAACTAGTGCTTTCTGGTACGGAATAAGAGATGACAGGATAGACATTGCAGATATCTTCAGAAAAATCCAATTGACAAAGTGAAGTCCCTACTAGAAAGAAGCAGGATAAACTATGCAAAAGGACAAGACAATTAATTTAATAGTCAAATTACGCTGCTGAGGAAACAGACCAGTGGAAAAGCCACGAAGACTACATTTCTGTATAGCTCGCTCACAACCCAAGGCCTAACATCAGAAAGCAACAACTTTAAGACCAACTGCAATCTTCTCCAGAGCTTCCATCAGCAAGTTGCCTATGGAGCTCTGAGCTGAACTAAAACCTCCCTCTTCTCTTGCATACTAGAATCCCGAGGGAATACTTGAACCACCATCTGCCTGTCCAAAGCAGAAGCAATCTGGCCTGAGAAGTGAAACAAGGAACGATAAAACAACCCTAAATATTACTTTGGGATTTAAAATTATATTAACAATGTAAATAAGATGGCTTTTAAAAGCCTGAGAGATGTTTTATCTTTGTGATATTCCTTCTGTCCAATTTTGTCTAGATGCAGAGAAAGCACTTTGTGTCTTTTCTAAATGGGTAATTTGGGGGAATGACACAGCTGAGCACAGGCAAACATGCTGTACGTTCTGAACTTTTCAAGCAGGGGACCTGAACATTTTCCTACGAGCAACGTTTTTAGTTACATTAATGTACAAAACAAGGATTAGAATATTTCTAGAGTCTGTGCTAGTACCTATGGGCTATAATCTCATGATACTCACTCCTTGTCATGCTTTACTGGTTAGTTACATCCTCCATTATTAGTGCTGCAAATTGATTTCATGGAATACTTACTAATTACATTGTGTACTCAGACTGATAGAGTAATGCACGGCTCAAGTTTTCCCTGGAAGCTGTTAAAGATTTTCCGTATGTAAAACCCAGCTACTGGATTTCCCCAGTTAAGCATTAAATGTCACAACCAAACCTCTTAAAATTGTACAGACATGGAAAATATTTTCTTAAAAAAAAAAAAAAAAAGTAAAAAGACAGTATTACAGTAAATGTGATTACAATTTTGATACAGTTTTCCTGAACTAATTTAGCTTCACAAAGAAAGACTTTTCAGCCTTTGTACATATGAAATTCTTCCTCTTTCCCCCCCTCCCTCAAATTAAAAAAAAAAAAAAAAAAAAAAAAAAAAAAAAAAAGGGG